CCCCCCCCCCCCCCCCCCCCCCCCCGCAACGCTCTCGCGACCGTCTCGAGAACTCCGCTCCAAGTCGGGTTCGGGCCTGGGCGGGGGGAGGGGAGAAGATGCGCCCCACTCCCGAGCATGTGCTCGGGACCCTGCGTGGACGCGGGCTGCGCGGGCTCCCCCACCGGTCCCCGCGCCACGCGTGCAGCACCCCAGGCCCTGGCGGAGCTTCCCCCGCCCCGGCTTAGACTGGAGAGACCTGCGCCAGCCCGCATGGATGTACGCGCATCTTCGTTGGGTCTGTAAGCCAGGGGCTCAGAACCACCGTCACACACCCAAAACCCGTTCTGCACACATAACGCACGCAGAAGCGCGCACAGCTGCACAGGCATGGAGACTGGCACACAAGCTGCTCGGCGTGTAAAGAATTCTCACTTGCCATCAGGTGCACCGACAGCCATAGAGAGCTCTCCTCGGTTCAGAATTAACTTAAAAAAAACAACCCCCAAACCTTTTAAGCCCAATATCGTTGGCATCAGTAGAGATTTTCCACAAAGTGGTTATTTGCATGTCTTCCCAATTCCTGTGGTAAAAACTACAAGGAAAAGGGAATTTTAAGTATTTTAAATACTGAGAAAAAATAAGTGACCATGTTTCCTGTGTGCCCTCTGAGGTTGGTCCAAAGTCCAGAAGGAGTCCCTGATGCCTGATTTTGACCTTCTATTTTGGGAGCTCAATATCCTGGAAAGTTGTTTGTTAAAAAATTTTAACGTTTTGGGGCGCCTGGGTGGCGCAGTCGGTTAAGCGTCCGACTTCAGCCAGGTCATGATCTCGCGGTCCGTGAGTTCGAGCCCCGCGCCGGGCTCTGGGCTGATGGCTCAGAGCCTGGAGCCTGTTTCCGATTCTGTGTCTCCCTCTCTCTCTGCCCTTCCCCCATTCATGCTCTGTCTCTCTCTGTCCCAAAAATAAATAAACGTTGAAAATAAAAAATTAAAAAAAAATTTTTTAACGTTTATTTATTTTTAAGAGACAGCCTGAGTGGGGGAGGAGGAGGAGGGAGAGAGGGAGACACGGAATCTGAAGCAGGCTCCACGCTCTGAGCTGTCAGCACAAAGCCCAACACAGGGCTGGAACTCAGGAGCCATGAGATCATGACCCAAGTAGGGCTCTTAACCGACTGAGCCAGACAGGTGCCCCCCAATATCCTGGAAAGTTTTTATTGTTGTTGTTGACTGTTGTTGTTGTAGTTTTGGGCAAAGATGAAAAAGTATTTGTCAAATTATAAAGCACTGCTCTACCGTTTTTCTTGCTGAGAGAATAACATACCCCTCCAAAAAACCCTAAAGAACTTTGGTTCATCTCATTGGTTGTTGATTTACTACATATCAGTATTAAAAGTGTTCTCAGAATGAAATTTGCTGTATACTGTGAATTACAAAGCCAGGAAAATAGTGGTACCTTTTAGGCTATACCTACTGACAAATGATATAAAAATAAAGCATTTTAGAAACAGGTTTATTTTGACAACTTCAAATTTGTTTTAAAAATCAACCAAGAAAAATGAAAAGCTGAAAAAAATAAGCATTATCAAGGTCCCACTGTCTAGATATAATCACCTTGAAGACTTTGTTAAACATTTCCAAAAATCTCTCCCTGCACATGTTACATGACAAGATAGCTGTTTTTATTTTTATTTATTTGTTTATTTTAAGCATTATTCAGTCTTTAAAAATATTTTTTCAGGCATCCAAGAACACATTAAATGCCACTGATATCTAAGCAAGAAAGTATTCAAACTAAGTATTCATGTCAGAAATTAATATTTGTTATATCTGAAAGCTCATTTCTTTAGACAAACCTCAAGAACTACTAAAGTTTTGGCAAAATGATCAAATGAGTTAATATAAATAAAAGAACCTTGTGAAGTGTGGGCTGAGAGGCAAGACATTACTGTTTGTTCACCTGCAGGGAATGCTGACTGGTTAGCCCCATAACAACACATCCATGTTTCAGGGCATTCATTCAGTAAATCTTGGTTGAATGTCTATCATCCATGCAGAACTGAGCTAATTGCTTTAGAGAGGATCAAAAAGCAACCAGGGTCTTTGGCTGCCTTCCATGAATTTACTGTCTGGTTATGGAGGGAAAAAAGGTAAATATCTAAAGTCAAACTGCAATTTATTCAATTAATTTCAACAAATATGTCTTGAGCAAATTATGTACCAGTGCTGGGGATACAGCAATGAACAATACTGATGAGGTTCCTGCTTTCATGCACTTTACTTTCTAGTGGGAAGGCAAGCATATAAAGTCAGACAGTGGATAAGTGCTATGAAGAAAAAGAAAGCCAGCAAAAGGGATAGTGACAGTGTGCTATTTTTAGATAGGCTAATCAGGGAAGGCTGCTCTGAGGAAGTGATATTTGAGCAGGGACTTAAATGAGGCAGTGGGCCATGACCATCTAGGGAATGATCCATCAGGCAACAAGAATAACAAGTGCAAAGGCCCTGAGGCAGGTATGTACTTTGTGTGCAAGATGGCAAGGAAATGTAATTGAGTGTTGAATGTATGCCATGCTATAAAATTGTAATGAATGTTGAATGTGTACCATGGTATAGAATTATAAAGTATCTCTTGCGGAAGTTTCCTCAAAGATCATCCAGTTTAAAGTAAAACAGAAGGGAATATTATATACACAAAAATGTATTCATTTCCCCCAACAAATCTGCAGTGTTTTGTCTCAAAATAATCTACAACTGCATCCAAAGAGATAGACTACACTAATTTCAATAATAAATTTTGATTACTCAACCTTTTCATTTTGCTATTTAGAACAAAAGAACAGACACTTATTACAGTCTTTAAAACCATCTGCATTAAATTGATGAGCCAAAAAAACACAGCTATCACAAACCCAGACATTTTGCTCCATAATCTAATGTCCTATTCATTCTCAGTATTCTTATTCTTAGGGGGGAAAATGTTGAGTCGATGGTTTCAACTTGAAAGATTCACTGAAACATCAAGTTTCTGCAGAGTCAAAACTGAGTGGAAAAATGAGAAGAAAGCCAGTTATCAAGCAAATTTAAATATGACTTCATTGATTTATCAACTTGGATAAAACTGAAGGGAAATTTCACACACATACTACTGCACGGTATTATTAATAATTGTCATTATAATTAAATCTTAGGCAGTATGTGACTATATTACTTCAGAGTTAACAAGAACCATGAATAGTAAGTCATAAATTATTAGTATCTTCAGCGTTTGGGCTATGACGTATTTGCTCCAGGTGTTAATAATCGGGCTTAGGCCCCATTCACGAACTTTCCCCTTTTGCACACAATATACATCATTGTACCATGTTTTTTTCTCCTTCATGAATACAAACAGGATTTCAAGTAGGAGAATCTGTTTCAATGACATTTCAAAATAATAGGCAATGTGGAAGCCCGTGTCTTGTTCCAGACAATCAAAATTTCTTCTTTTTTTTAAGTTGTTTTTTTTTTTTTTTTTGGAGGGGGGGGGGGAGGGGGGGGGGCGGCGGGGAGAGGTGCGGAGAGAGGGAGAGAGAGAATCCCAAGTAGGCTCCTTGCTGACAGCCCCGAGCCCAACGTGGAGCCCAATGTGGGGCTCAAACCCAGGAATGGTGAGATCATGACCCGAGCCAAAAACCAAGAGTCAGATACTTGACCAACTGAGCCATCCAGGTGCCCCAGTCAGAATCTCTTCTATTCCTTAGAAACAAAATTGCTCAAGTTCTGTGCCATCCTATGATCTTTGGAGTGTGTGTATGTGTATGTGTGTGTGTATGTTTAAGAGCTTTATAGTATAATTTCTATACTATAAAATTCACCCATTTGAAGTGTACAATTTAATGAATCATTTTAGTGAATTTATAGATCTATGCAGCCATTGCCACAATCTGATCTTGGAATGTTTCCAACCCCAAAAAGATTGGTAGGGCTCATTTGTAGTCAATCCATTTTCCCAACCCCATGCCCAGGCAAATATTAATCTACTTTCTATTTCTATAGATTTGCCTTTTCTGGATAACCTCCATTTTGGTCGGTGTTTCTGTAGAATTTGACCATGGCAGTGCTAAAGCACCCACAGAGAATTGCTTGCCTAGCCTAATGGCAACTAAAAACAAAACAGAAACTGCCAGAATTTCTGACCAATCTGTAAAAAATTCCAGACATTTTCCAGATTCAAGTTTATACAAGGCTGGTAAAGCAGCTTCTTCAACCATCTTTCCTATTGTACGGGAAATAGCATCCTTGGCCATGAGCTTGCAAAGCAGGCTGTCCCTGGACAGCCATTCTCCAGAGAGGAAGCCCAGAAACTCAGCCAAGATCCAGCACTCAAACAACCCTTTGCATTCTACCATTTCTTTTTAACATATCACTGCTGTGGGAAAGAGAGAATAAGGAGGATAAGGTGGTCTTGCCTAAGAAGGTAGTCACCCACAACTGCTTTTGTCAACTGTCATTGAGCAGCCGAAGCAGAGAAATTCCATTTCTAAAGACAAAGGCTCTTACGAACCATCAAAATCTCACTCCAGAATATTCTCTCGCTAGAACATACATAACTTGAAATGCAGTCCAGACCTTCTCCTCCAAAAAGTTATTTGGTATGATTATTAATTAATGTATCAACTTGACTGCCCATTGAGTGCCCAGATTAAACATTTTTTCCAGGTGTGTCTGCAAGGATGGCCCTGGAAGAAATTAGCATTTGAATGGGTGGATTTGGTGATGTAGATTGTCCTCCCCCATGTGGGTGGGCCTTATCCTATCAGTTGAGGGCCCAAATGAAGCAAAAGAGAGAGGAAAGAAGAATTTGTCCCTTTTTTCTTGCCTTGCTGATTGAACTAGGACATTTCATGTCATCTTCTCTAGCCCTCTGAGCAATATTTACACTGCTGGCACCCTTGGTTCTCACGCCTTCAGACTCAGACTCCGTAGCACTCCATACCACTGGTTTGACTGGGTCTCCAGCTTGCAGATAGCAGACTGTGGGACTTCTTAGCCTCCGTATCTGTATGAGCCAATTCCTCATAATAAATCTCCATATGAATCTCTACATATGGGTATAGACTGTACAACAAATCCAAATAGGTCATATATATGAAAATGAGAAGTGGGGGTTCTCCTGTAACAAATGCCTAAAAATGCAGAAGTGGCTCAGGAACTGGGTAATGGGGTAGAGAATGAAGTTTGGAAGTTCATGCTGGAGAAAGCCTACACGGCACAAACAGACCTTTATTTCTTTATTTGTAAGATTTTATTGTTAAGAAATCTCTACTCCCGGGGCGCCTGGGTGGCGCAGTCGGTTAAGCGTCCGACTTCAGCCAGGTCACGATCTCGCGGTCCGTGAGTTCGAGCCCCGCGTCGGGCTCTGGGCTGATGGCTCAGAGCCTGGAGCCTGTTTCCGATTCTGTGTCTCCCTCTCTCTCTGCCCCTCCCCCGTTCATGCTCTGTCTCTCTCTGTCACAAAAATAAATAAACGTTGAAAAAAAAAATAAAAATAAATAAAAAAAAAAAAGAAATCTCTACTCCCAACATGGGGCTCGAACTTACAACCCCAAGATCTAATGTCACACACTATACCGACTGAGCCAGCCAGATGCCCCATGAATATACCTTTAAAAGTAATTCTGGCGAGGGACGCCTGGGTAGCTCAGTCAGTTGAGCGTCCGACTTTGGCTCAGGGCATGATCTAACGGTTCGTGGGTTCAAGCCCCATGTCGGGCTCTATGCTGACAGCTCAGAGCCTGGATCCTGCTTCAGATTCTGTGTCTCCCTCTCCCTCTCTCTGTTCCTCCTCCACTCGCACTCTGTCCCTGTTTCTCTCTGAAAAAATAAAAGATAAATAAAATAAAAATAAATAAAAGTAATTGTGGTGAGAGCTCAGAAAGAGAAAATGAGAACGGTAGAGAAAGCCTCAGTCGTCTTAAGGAATCCCTAAGTGGTCAGGAGCAGTATGTTGGTAGAAATATGGGCTGGGGCGCCTGGGTGGCGCAGTCGGTTAAGCGTCCGACTTCAGCCAGGTCACGATCTCGCGGTCCGTGAGTTCGAGTCCCGCGTCGGGCTCTGGGCTGATGGCTCAGAGCCTGGAGCCTGCTTCCGATTCTGTGTCTCCCTCTCTCTCTGCCCCTCCCCCGTTCATGCTCTGTCTCTCTCTGTCCCAAAAATAAATAAACGTTGAAAAAAAAAATTAAAAAAAAAAAAAGAAGAAGAAATATGGGCAGTAAAGGCCATTCTGATGAGGTCTCACATGGAAATAAGGAACGTCTTACCGGAAACTGGAGGAAAGGCGTTCCTTGCTATAAAGTGGCAGAGACATGGCTGAACTGTGTTTGTGTTCTAGAGTTTTGTGGAAGGTAGAAATTGCAGGCAATGAAACTGGATATTTAACTGAAGCAATTTCTAAAAAAAGGGTTGAAGGTGTGGCTTGGCTCCACCTGGCTGCTTATAGTAAAATCCAAAAAGAAAGAAATGACTTGAAGATAGAATTGTTAAGCTAAAAGGAAGTAGAACTTCATGATTTGGAAGATTTTCTGCCTAGGCATATTGCAAAAAGTGAGAACATTAAGGATATGGCCAAGTAACCATTTGAGTTATTGGCTAATGAGTGTGGGTGTGAAGCACAGATTCATCAGCCACCCCAGGAAGAAAACTGCCAGCAATAGGAGACGGGAAAGAATGAAGGAAGGAAGGCTGTCAGACCTCAGGGGTTTCACGGGATGAGCCCATAGAACTATTTAGCTGAGATCATGCGCTATTCTTTAAAACAAGGGAAGAATGACCCAAGAGGCGATTCGGAGACTATTGGGGCTGTCTTCTTGGTTTCAAAATTTGTATTGCTTAAACACATAGATGCATACAACACATGACTTCACATTTTAATGATTTCCAAAATAAAATCACTTCTTCAGCACTCACTCGCGTAACTGGTGCTCTGCCCTCCCTGTCCAAGCACCACCTACTCTATTATTCATTTCCACCTGATTCCCCTCCAGGACGTTTTGTGGCAAGCATCTTCACCACGAGAATTGCTACAGACAGAATTGAGTATGTTTGGAACATGTACATCATGCTTTGCCTCAAAAGGCAGCAGAAAGGCAAATTTTATTTCTGGACATATGTAAGTCAAGCCACAGGGGCCTTTTCTAAGGTAAAATGCACGACACAGGGTGCCAAGCTTTTCCCTTACTGTATATCTAGCCCAAAAGACATTTCATTCGAGAAAAAATTGGATAATTTAAGTTACAGAGTTACCCTGAAGTCTTTGGACAGTCTAATAGGCTTTGAAAAATGCAGCCAAATAGTAAGGGGCAATTTCTGTATTTGTTTGGTGGAAGTGAAAAAAAGTCAACTGAAAATTTGCAGGCTGAGAACAAATGGACAGGACCCATTGCACGGCAAGGAAAAGTGAGTCAGAGAATAAAGCACAGACCTCTGGGAGGTCACACACCATATGCCACAAATGGAAGCTGCTGAGGTTACCACCTATCAAAAACAAAACAAAACAAAACAAAACAAAACAAAACAAAAAACACTGCCACATCCGGTTAGTGGAACAGTTTCAAATTTGTTGCCCTGGTCTGCTTTGAAACTAGTCTATATAACACATTTACAATATAATGCAAGTCATGTATCCCAAGTCTGGAGAGAATATTTGAGACTCGGTTATTCATTCTCAGTCATTGTGAGGGACTGTGGCCACAGCAACACAAGATTATTGACCTCGTTCAAAGTTCGAACACTGGACCTGAAAACACACAACCAGAATGAATGTTCAATGATTAATCAACATCTGTGAATTGATGGCTAAAAAGCAGTGAGTTATAAGATAGCATTTCTATCTAGCTTTTTAAATCATAATTAGTTGTATGTGCGTGTGTGTGTGTGTGTGCGCGCGCGCGCACAGGCATGTGTGTGTAAAAGATTACAATTTCTCACAGGTGACAAAAGCTGTATCAGCTTATTCAATCTGCTCAAGCCACACAACTTGCCAATGTGTGGCTGCAAGGTCA